AAGAAGAAGAAGAAGAAGAAGAAGAAGAAGAAGAAGAAGAAGAAGAAAAGAAAAAAAGAAAGAAAGAAAAGAAGAGAAGAAAAAAGAAAAGAAAGATGGATGCCTGAGCAAATATTTATCGTCTTGAGGAAGTTACCAGTGATTTTAAAGTATGTGCGCGCTGTAACTTCATACTAGCTTCAAAGAACCCTGAGGTGATCAGAGGTTAAGAGAACTAAATCTGCTCTGTAGTTCCATGGTCCACCTCACAGAGGCAGCCGGGCTTGGGGGTGAGGGCTTTGCCGGGGGCCCTGGCTGGCACACCTCCTCACCTGTGTTCAGAGCCTGAGCACACACCCCCCCCCCGCCACCATCTGGGGAAGGTGGGAGGACGACAGTCACCTCAGAATGCAGCAGAAGGAAGCTGGGGTGACCGCTTTTTCAAGGGAATGAGCCTCTCAGAGTCCTGCTTGAAAGGATGAAGGGGAGACCAACAGAGACCACTAACCTGGTCCCAGGGGCCGAGGAGGGGCCTTCAGAGACCGAGACACCGACTAAGGAGCATGCATGACCTGGACCTCGGTGCTCTGCACACATGATGACCCGGACCTCGGTGCCCTGCACACATGGGCTGCTTGGTCTTCACATGGGTCGCCTGGCGAGTGGGGGTGGGGCTGTTTCTGACATGGACTCTATTGCCTGGTTTTGGATAACTTCCCCCTGGCAGGGCTGCTTTGCCTGGCCTCAGGGGAGGAAGATATGCTCAGTCCCGATGTGATTTGATGTGCTGGGCAAGGTTTATACAGGGAGAGGGCCTCTCCTTTTCTTGGGGGAAGGGACGAAGAGAAGGGGAGACTGAGAGAACAGGAGGGAAGGGGCACCCCTGGGATGTAAAACAGACTAAAAAAAAATAAAAATAAATTTAAAATAAAGAAGAAAAGAGAAAAATATTTACTATAATTAGAAAAATAAATAAAAGGCTGAGGGCTGTGAAGGTGCTGGGGATGTGGTGAGTTGCTACTGCCCCCTGCTGGTGAGAAAGGGGAAGGTCAAATCCCAGGAAGAAGTTAAATAAAGGCGTGCCAGGAAACACGGCAACTTTCTAGACTTGAAGATCTGGAGAAAAGAGGATTAGATGGAGAAAGCACAGGTGTAGGGCTATTTTGTTAACTGCGTTTGTCTGTCTGTGTGTGTGTATGTGTGTGTGTATACATACCACAGCATACACGTGGAGATCAGAGCACAATTTTTGAAGAGTTGGCTTCTCTCCACCAAGTGGGTTCTAGGGTTCAAGGCTTGATGGCAGGAAGTTTTACCTAAACCATCTTACCAGCCCCCATCTTTTTTTGGGGGGGGGTGGGGGGTCAAGACAGGGTTTCTCTGTGTAGCCTTGGCTGTCCTGGACTTGCTTTGTAGACCAGGCTGGCCTGGAACTCACAGAGATCCGCCTGCCTCTGCCTCCCAGAGTACTGGAATTATGGGCATGCATCGCCATATCCCACATAGTATTAATCAGGTACTGTTTACTGATTTTATAGTGGGGGATCTCACCACATCACAACTCTAAGCTTATCAGAGACTTTTTCCCACATGTTATCTGGGGGAAATTATGTAATTCCCTTTGAAGGATCAGAGGGGGGTGTTTTAGGAATTTGGAAGATTTTGTGTGTGTGTGTGTGTGTGTGTTTCAAAATAAAGATAATTTTGCTTAAATGTGGTGGCAAATTTCTTCAGTTGAAGGAAGGAAGACCCTGAGTACCAAGCCAGCTAGGTGACACAAGATCCTGGCTTATGCTTCCCAAGCATGTAACATACTGTATATGCAAAGTCCTGGGTGAACCCCCAACACAGCAAATCAATCAGTCAATGGATTCCAGGCTTACCTTACTGATAGTGTGCCTCCTTGGAGGACGGGGCAGCTCCTTGGGTGATACTGCCCTCTGCTGTTCATAAAGCAATATGACCACTAATATCCTAGCAAAGAATTTCGGAGGCAATGTCACTTACCATTTTGTGATAAAATCTCCTGGCTTGGCTGTTGAACCCCTTCTTTTCCGGCTCTTGAAGTTTTGATATTTTATTTCTATAGGGGATGGAGTATTGAGTAGGGTATGCAGCAGTAAAGCCTAAACGATAGCAACAAAAAGACCGTCAGCTCTGCACCACCAGTGTTTGTTCGTCGCAACTGCTGGGCAATCTGTGAGGAGTCACCCTAGGCTAGGGAACACAGCTCCGTTGGCAGAGTACTCCCCTAGCGTGCACAGAGCCTGGGGTTCCGTTCCCAGCACCACATAAAACCAGGTGTGGTGGCACACACCTGTCCTCGCAGCACTCGGGACGTGGAGGCAGGGGGATTAGAGATCTAAACTCACCCCTGGCTACATACGGAGTTCAAGGCCAGGGTGGAGTGGCATAGCATGGAGTAGTATATGAGACACTGTCTCAAAAATAAACAAGTGACCAAATGAATCTCAGTGAGCTACAAAAGAGAGCTCAATACAGGCAGTCCCTTCCATGAGATTCAGGGGCTCCGCCCACCTTTGTGATGCAGATAGAATCCTTCTTCCTTTTCTAGCTCTTTCTCTTGGACATGGCTAGAGTCAACGTATGCTAATATTGGTAGTTCAGACTTCCTCACTCTTTCTCTACAGGCCCCTCCTGCTGCCATGTGGCTCCCGGATGACATATGACTGTGCTCCACTGCCAGTGTAGCATTTTCTCCTTCTCTTCTCTGTCCTCCTCCCGGCAGCTGCTGAGATTTACAGCTTATCTGCTCTGGGGTTTCCCTTTGAACATCTAAAAAATTTATCCTCTTTGAATTAAAAACAAAAATTCAATGCAAGGTCAAAGAACAGCTCCGTGGGCGAGGGCTCTTTATGCCAAGCCTGGCCACGTGGGTTCGACCCCTGAGATCCCCATGGTGGAAGGAGAGAACCTACACCCAAAACTTGTTCTTTCACTTCCACACCTGCTCCATGGCATGCACTTACAAAATAAATCCGTACAGTTTTTAAAAATTAAAACAGGACTGAAAAGATGACTCCAAGGTTAAGAGCACAGGCTGCCCTTCCAAAGGACCCAGGTTCAATTCCCAGCCCCACATGGTAGCTCGGAACCATTAGTAACTCCAATTCCAGGAGCTCCAACACCTTCTCTGGCCTCTTCGAGAATTGTATGCATATGGTGTGTAGACCCAAACACATAAAATAAAATAAGTAGTTTCAAATTAAAATATTCAGTACAAAAGGGTGAACAAATAAAGAATGAACAAATAGGACAGATAGAAAGCAAACCACAAACCAACAGACCTACTTGGTAATAACCACATTGAATATTAAGTGGTCTATACATTGTAGTTAAAAGACAGGGATTGTCAGACTGGATAAGAAAAAAAAAAATAGACCCAACTACATGCTGTCTACAAGAAACACATTTCAACTATAAAACCAGAAAAAGAGTAAAAAGAATGGGGACTCGCAATAAGAACTCAGTTGTCAGGAATAAAGCAAGCGAGACATGTTACACGTTTAAAACTGAAGAACATAGTTCTTGCTGGACACCTGAAAGCACCATGTTCTTTTGTTGTTGTGGAAGGGACAGTCCCCCTTCCCTTTCTTACAGTTTCTTCCTATCTGCACTCCAGGGTCAACAGGGCCAAAGGCAGTCCGTGTGATACACTCCTCCTAACTGGGCTCTCACGTACTAGAGTGTTGTCACTTAAGTTCACCAGACCTTTCTGTAGTCTGTTACCAGGCTTCTTCGGCTTGCCAGGCCCCTGTTTTTTCCAGATGAGGTTGTCCCAGTTGGCAACATTCTTGTACATGTTCCGTCTGTGGGAGGAGAACCTCAGCCTCTCATTCTTCTAAGCACCTGAAATAAGATACAGCGTTTGTGGGGGCCGGTTCACACCACAGCGGCTCTGTGCTAATGGTGGCTTAGGCCGGGGGATCTGGTGGGGCAGAAGCTGAGTGATCGCCGGGACCACCCAAGTTCCAAGCGCACAGCAGTGCCGGAACTGGGGAGGCCACCGCAGGTCACCATCACTGCTGCCTACAGCTTCCAGGTCTTTAGCTCTTATTTTTATTATTAATTTAGCTTGGCCGAGATATAATTCACACACAGCAAAATTCGTCAGTGGTAAAGTAAAAAATAGATCTAAGTTTTGACAGTTGTGTCGAATATCCGTAGCCGCCCGCAGAGCTGCCACGTGCTTTCACAGTCATTTCCCTCTGGGCCAGGCCTCTGCCAATTTCTGTGCTTCCTGTCACAGCGGCTTCCTTTCTATAACGTGGCACAAGTGCCACCAGCCGATCAGGTGCTACCAACACAATCTCCCTGGGGCTGGAGAGACAGCTCAGGAGTGAAGAGCAGGCACTGCTCCTGCGAAGGACCCAAGTTCCATTTCCAGCAACCCATGCAGGGCAGCTCAAACAGCCTGGAACTCCAGCTGCAGAGAAACGGATGCCCATTCCTGGCCCCCACAGGCACCTGCGATTTATATGTGTAAACACACTCACACACACACACAACTACAAAGAAAAGGGTTACTCTTTTTTTTTTTTTTTAAGTCTTCCTAGATTTTGATTGGGATTGCATCAAAAATTCAGTGAGGATATCCCAGCTGAGTGTTACGATCCGCTGATACGGCGATGTCCCGTTTATGTTGATAGTTACACTTCTCGGTGCTCTGTTGTTTACAAATGTGTGGCTGCTGCATGTTTTTGTGAACCCCTGTGAGAGAGGGCCTCGCATGTGCCACAGTGCACACATGAAGGTCTTCCACCTCGCTTGCTGTGTCTGCCTGATCCGAATTCAGGTCTCCATGGCGCCTTGCCACATGAGCCATCTCCCCATCCTAACACAGGTTTCCTCAGATAGAGCCCTAGGGGTTTCATATTGCCATGTCACGAAGATGGGGTCTTTTAAAAGTCTTGACAAAAGAACCTGTCTCCAAAAAAAATAAATAAATAAATAAAAGAAAGAAAATCCTTTTGTTTTACAGTGCTAGAGACTGAAGCCAGGCCCCTGAGTGATGGCAGGCAAATACTTTAGCTGCAGCCCCGGCTCCACAAAATGTCCACTTCCAATTTTCCGTTTCTGGTGATTTTTACACATTGATCTTGTGTCCTCTGACTTAGCCTCATTCTGTGTTCTAAAAGCTTCTCTACAGTTTAGGAATTTTAATCCATATAGCCACCCATGCCTGAAGAGCGGGGTTATCCCCTCCCTTTCTAACGTATGGCCGTAACTCACACGCACACATACACACACTCACCCCGCTGTAACATTACAGGGCCAGGGGCACTCAAAGCTGCCCTGAATGTAGCTGATGAGAGCAGCTATCTATCTTAATACTGGCTTGAGGAGGATGCACGGTCCTTCTGCATTAAGGATGAAGTTAGTTATAAGTATTTTGTTAGTTTTGGTTTTTTACTTATTTGGAGTTTTGTTTTGTTTTTTTTGTTTCGTTTGGGGGGGGTTGTGAGGTGTTTTTTGTTTTTTGTTTTTTTGTTTTGTTTTTCTTTTTCTTTTTGGTTTTTCAAAGCAGGGTTTCTCTGTGTAGCCTTGGCTGTCCCGGACTTGCTTTGTAGATCAGGCTGGCCTCGAACTTACAGAGATCTACCTGCCTCTGCCTCCCCTAGTGCTGGGATTACACTAATTAAAATGTTTTTTTTTAATCTAGAATTTCTGTAATTAGTACTACTTGGTTGTGATGTAGACTTCCTCACCCATGTACATGACTACTAAATGGTAGTTTTCTTCTATTTTTTTTAAATGTCTTTGATTTTTGTTTCACAAAACAAATTTAAAGGTGATTCTTTTCTTCCATTACATTTATTCATCTGTGTGTCTGTGCATAAACATGTGGGAGGCAAATGACAATTGGAGGGAATCCATTCTCTCCTTTCACCATGTGGTTCGCTGGGGTTGAACTCAGGTCATCAGGCTTGGCAGCAAGCACCTTTCCCTTGCAGCCATCTTGCCCACCTGTTTCTCTTTTTACTTCCTAGTGTTGGCACTATTCCTCAAGTATTTGCTTGGAGTGGGTATCATTCCTTCTCTACATTCACAAATGAAGTCAAACCCTGAGGTTGAGGGCAGGTTTTTCAACGACAACGTCCCTTCACTTACTTTAATGCTGTTTCTTCTTGAGAGAGCTTTGGTAATAAACACACTTCAAAGGAAATTTTCCATTTTGTCTTCATGAGGTTCATTAACATAGAGCTGTTCATAACGGTCTTTGATTGTGCTTGTTCTGAGACAGGGCCTCACGAGGTAGCTTTGCTACGGAGACCAGCCTACCTGCGCCACAAGTGCTGGTTTTAAAGGTATGTACTACCACGCATGGCCCAATTGTCCTTTTAATATCTGTGCACTTGGCTGCTCTCCCAGAGGCCCTGAGTTCAATTCCCAGCAACCACAAGGTGGCTCACAGCCATCTCTAATGAGATCTGGTGCCCTCTTCTGGCATGCAGGTGTACATGCAGGCAGAACACTATAAACATAAGAAATAATTAAATCTTTAAGAAAAAAAAATCTGTGAAAATGTCCCTCCTTTATTCTTTAAACTAGTAATTTACATCTTATAGGCTTTTGTTGAAAAGCCTGACTCGAGTTTTACCAACCTTCGTTTCGAAAGCAAACAGCTTTTCCATGTCCTTTCTTCCTCCGGGTTTCACACGCCCTTTTTTAACTCCTAGAAGAAAGCCTGGGCTTTCTAAACTCAGATCTCTCTTACATCCTAGCATAACAACAATATTTGCTATGTTAAATATGCCCATGGGTACACTCCGAATGGCATCGCATGCATTTTAATGTGGTAAGAGTCTTAGTTTCCTCTTAGCTTAAAAATATTTCCAATTTACCCGTCATTTCTTTTTATTGTTGATTTCAAGGTTGGTTTGTTTGTTTGTTTTTTCCTGTATTGTTGGACAGTGTTTTGCCCAAGTGTCAACCTGACTGAACTGCTCAGCACTGGTGTTCAGGCCTTTTATACCCTGACTTCCCGTATATCGTGTCAGTGCTGAGGGCTGTGCTGTCAGTGCTGATGACCCCTGGTGCTCCATTACTGTTAACGCATCTTTATTTTCAGCATCCTCACCGTGTTCCATGTATCCTGGAGCACTGTCAATGGTTTCTGCACAGGATGAGCTACAGGTACTTTTGAAATGCCTGTAATATTCCTGCTCTCTCCATTTCTTGTTGATATATCCCCTCTGGCTGTCTTTTGATTATTATACCTTTTCCCAGAGTTTTTGCTTAGCCAACCATGCCTTCATATTTAAAGGTTTCTTTCTTTCTTTTTCTTTCCTTCCTTTCTTTTCTTTTTTTTTTCTTTCTTCTTTTTCCTTTCTTTCTCCTTTCTTTCTTTTCTTTTTATGAAGCTTGAGCCCAGGACCTTGTAGGGAGCTATAACCCTGGCTCTCATTGTATTTTTCTGCTGTTTGGGTGCTGAAATCTGAACTTGGGATCTGGAGCATGCTAGACACCAGCTCTGCCTCCAAACTGCACCCCCCCTCCATGGTTACAGTTCACTGTAATTCACACCTTCCTTCCTCTGCAAGCTCTGTGCCCCTTTCTTGCCTCTTTGTTTGAGGAGCTGTTTTGGTTTGGTTTGGTTTTGGTTTGATTTTGAGACAAAGGCATCACTGTGTAATCCTATCTAGCCTAGAACTCTTTATGTACACCAGGTTGGCCTTGAACTCACAGAATTTTTTTTTTAACACACCTAATTTTGTGTTGTTTTGTTTTAGAGACAATATCTCACTATGCAGCCCAGGCTGGCCTTGAACTTGCAGCTTTCCTCTTGCCTCACTCTCCAGTAAAGGGTTTTTAAGAGTGCATCGCCACAACAGCTTTCGCCTGCTTTTTTGTTTTGAGGCAGGGTCTGACTGCATAGCCCCGGCTGTCCTGGAACTCACTGCATAGACCAGGCTGGCCTCGAACTCAGATCTACCTGCCTCCGCCTCACCTGTTGGGATTAAAGGTGTGTGCCACTACCACCTAGGTCCCTGACTTGAATTCCTGCCTTTACTTCCCTTTGTGATGGACTGTGGTCAGAATATAAACCCTTTCCTCCCAAAGTTGCTTTTGGACACGACCTTGATCACAGCAGTAGAAGGGATATTAGAACAATGGCATTTCCTCCATAGCTCCCCCACGCCCACCCCCATTGTTCTGCCTTCCGCAGCTCTGATCCCCTCTGCCCCTTGTTGATCTGATTTTGTTCATGGCTTGGCATGGTTTTCTTCAGTATTCTTTAATGTTTGGGATTCGCTGCATTTCCAAAGCTGTAGGTTTATGGTTTCCATCAGATTCTGAAAACATTTTGCATTCCTTTTTCAAATAGTTTTTTTTTTTCTGCTCTCTCTTTTTCCAGGGAGACAGTTGTACATGTGTTCGTTCACTTGGTGTTCTCCTAAAGGTTGCTGAGAGTCTGTCTTTGAAGTCAGCCTCGTTTAACCTCTTGCTCGTCACACAGCCTGGATTGCTTTAGCTTCAGACTCACTGATATGGTCTCATCTGTGTTTTCATTTTAATTGTTACTTTTTTTTTCCATTTCTAGATGCTGTGTGTGTTCACGTGTATGTGTGACTGTGAAGCTTCACATTGGATGTGTTCCTCAGTTGCTCACTTTGTCTTTTGAGACAGGGTCTCATGCTGAACCCGAAGCCGGCTCATTTGACTTGCTGACCAATGAGCCCCAGGGATCCTCGTGTTTCCATCTCCCCCAGAGCGGGGATTCCCAACTTTTAGACAACCTGTCCACTGCATGGCCACTTTGGAAAGAAGGAATCTACCCCTTAGTGAGACAGGCTCTTGTCTCCTCCCTTGAGGGTTAATCAACTGGATCAGGTCTGGGACCTGCCTAGGGGACATCCCTAGGAAGGGGATGGATTACGAGGTAGGATGCTTCCCCGTCACCCCCCAGCCCTGAGCAGTCCTCCCAGCTGCCATGGGGTTTTGCTGGCTCTGAGCACCTGAGCGTAACTACTTATTTTTCTTTCAGATGCTGGCTAGGGCTCAAGGATACTGTTAAACTCCCCAGTGCTTTGAACTTCCTTAATCTTATTCTAAAGGTCCCGTCCCTGCCTTGTAGCTGACCTCTGTGCCAGCTCCTCTTCTTCCATTCTCCTCCTTCCTTCCCGGCAGCTGCCAGGCTTCCCAGCACTCCTGCCGTCGGCTTCTCCTTTCAAACTAATTAATCTGTTGCCCTAAGCTTCAGTTTGAGTTAGTTCATTGTCCCTGAGCTTCTGTTTCTGTTCATTCTTAAATTCTTTTACTAACGACACTGAGAACCCCAGGAAGAGACCCCGACTTCTCCAGTATCGTATAAGGCTCTGCTGGGACTCCCCAAGACTCCTGGTAACACTTTTCCATGGCCTTTTAATTCCTTAATCAGCGGAGAAAGCCAACCCATCTCTGGCAGCATCTTTTCCTTTCTTCCTGGTTTGTAAAAAGGCCTTCCTCTCCAGCCTCATGGTGACCAAGCTCTCCTTCACCTCCTACAGTAGTTTTGTCCGGCTGGTAATGGCTGCTCGGGGGTCCTTTCCTGCTGGTTCTGCAATATTTGTCATTGCTGGGACTGCTGTCCTGGTTGGGGTCCATTTTCCTGGAGCTTTGTACTGGGTACAAAAAAGGATGAGATTTCCATTCTTGCATGCTTGCCCCCCCCCCCCCCCCCCCGGCTTATTCTTTAGTAACTGCCTATTCATTTGATCCCTCCAAGCTTTCAAACTTTGAAAGATTCAAAACAGCCTTTATTCTGGGCTTAATTTATCTTCACTACTAAGATACGATACTTTGTTTTGACAGTAGCCCTGGCATTTTAGATCCTATTCTAAATTCTTTGGCTTCCCTGAACCCTGACCTCCATGTCCTCCTGGCAAGTAGCCTTCTGTCACTGGAATAAAACACCAAAGACTTGTATTGGCTCATGGTTTCAAGGGGTTCAGTCCCTAGTCACAGGTCCTGTTACCCAGGGCCTGTGACCGTGCCGTACACGACACCAGGAACACAACCCAGTAGAAAGGGTCTCCTTCACAGCACAGCATCCAGAAAGCAAAGTTAAAACAGAAAAGGGCTGGGTCCCAACATCTCCTTCAAGAGCACACGCCCTGAGACCCAATTTCTTCCACTAGGCCCTACCTTCTGAAGGTCCCACAACCCCTAATACCACCAAAGGCCCGGGAGCAAGCTCTCAACAAACAGGCTTTGGGGGCATCCAAGATACAGTGTCTACTGCACTTCAGAAAGCTAGCGTTCCCCTCCCCGCCTGCGGTGCAGCCCAGAGCGAGCTGCACATCCGCCAGCGGCATTACCGTGTGCCTGCTGCCTTCTCTAATCTGGGTAGCTGGGCCTGTCTTGGTTTTGTTTCTGTTTCTGTTGTCAATAGCATGAACACAGTTTCATCTCCAAAGCGGTTAATTTTTCATGAGCGCACTCAGGATTCACTTTACCTGTTCTCCCTAAGGAACTCACACTGGCTCTAAATACTGATGAAGTGAGCACTGAGTCAACAATCCACCTAGACCTTTCTTCCTCAATGGGGTGTTCCTTGCCGAATTCATCTTCACAGCAGCGATTTGTAGGCTTTTCCGATCATCTAAGATTGTCAACATTTAATACGATCATGGGGCACAACAGCTTTAAACCATTAAGGTATTTCGAAGCAACCATCAATAACCACCAGAGAACAGCGTCTCTCAGTGTCTCCAAAAGCAGCCAGTGATCACTTGCCCCGCTGCAGTGCGACCTTGCTGTTTCATAAGAGCCATTTTCAGCCTGACCTCTGGTGAAGCCGCTGCTGGAGAACGCTGGGAATGTGGCTCGTTTGGCAGAGTGCCGTCTGACCAGCACAAAGCCCCGTTTTGGTCCGCAGCAGCAATATTATAATCTGAGCACTCAGGAAGTAGAGGATCAGAAGTTCACACTGATTCCACACTGAGTTCTAGGCCAGCCTGGGCTGAATGTCAACACCCTGTCTCCAAAGCCAAAATGACAGTGCTGGGAGAGACTGCCTGGTGGTTAAGAGGCTGTTTTTTTTTCCCCAGAGGACCTGGGTTCAATTCCAAGCATTCACATGGAGGTTCACAACTATTTGTAACTCCGGTCCTAGGATCCGATGCCCTCTTATGACCTCCACAGGCACCAGGCATGGACATGGTGTAGGGATGTGCGTGCAGATAAAATATTCAGAAACATAAACAAAAATTAATTTTAAAAAATGACAACAAGAATAATTGTGGAGTGGTGGTTTAGTCATTTCAATGCCAGCAGTCAGGAAGCAGAGGCAGATAGACCTCTGTGAGTCTGAGGCCAGCCTGATCTGCATAGAGCATTCCAGGACTACATAGTGGCCCTATCTTTTTTAAAAAAAAGAAAGCATAAGAGTTTTTTTTAAATTATGCTTCTTATGCAAATTATTAATTTTTTGAAACAATTTAAGAAATTATAGAAACGTCAAACAATGCACTATTCTACCACCAAAAGGGAACAAATGTCAATCTTGCTAAAGCTTGCTTCTAAACAGGTGCACACCTGCCGCCCTGGTGAGCCTCCTGCACCTGATGGGTCGTGAGTGACAGGTGCCTAGACTCTAAACTGATTAAATCCAATTCGGAACATCCCTCCTGGAGGGAAGTGGGGGGACACATGAGACTCAGAAGACTTTCCAAAGCCTCAGGGGAACGACCGTTAGGTATTTGGCTTGGTGGGGGTGTGTCGGAGGCCTAGATGGAAATGTAGACTTGAGTTAGTGGCCCCGAGATTTCAGTCTCACGCTTTCAATTTTCTAGACGGCCAAAAAGAGGCCCGGACTAAGGAAGACTTGCTGAGGAAGACCCAAGTGGACAAGAGGGTCCACCGCCGCCGCGTCCCGGTGGCCCCTCAAAGACTGAAGCAAGGGGCGTTAGATGTCCAGTCCTCTCACAGGGTCCAACGGGAGGCAGACCACAGTTAGCAGCGCTTTTCAGATGGGTTCGCTGACCACACAGCGACCCCACCGCTGCCCCAAGTGGCGCTGCCCTCGAGGCGCCACCCAGCTGGGCACAGAGATTGCGTACGCACCCGGGTCCGGCGGTCTCAGTGGGTGTCCCATGGAGTGCCCTGAGTAGTCCTCATGACCTCAGGGACAGGAGCTGGCGTCTACCTAATCTAGCCTCTCCGTTTACCCAGTCGCTATGGCAACCACTGGCCTAACATTCCGGAGTCCAGCGGCGGGCAGCATCTTTAGCCAATGGCGTTCTCTGTTTCTTTAACGTGAAAAGCTGTTGACCAATCGTTATAGCCATCTCAAAACCAAGCCGAGACGCTACCAGAATTTGGGGTTTGGGCTGACTATGCCGGGAGCTGTGGAGGAGCTATTATGGTTTTTGTTTCTGGGGGTTGGCTTTTTCTTGTGGTTGTTGCTACTCCTTAAAGCTCACAGGACAAACCAAAAGCCTGGAAATTTTGCTCATTCAGAAAATCCTACCCAAGGAATAAACCTGAGCACGTGTCTCCGCCCACGCCCTAAGTGCGAGGGCAGGAAAAGTTGATGACAGAGCTCCGTCAGGGCAACTGCACAGTGCTCCGAGAGCGCCTCACCCGTTTCACCGCAGCCGCAGCACCCCTTCGCAGCCCGGCTGGAGATGGGCTATGCCTCTTACCAACTGTCTCCGGCGCATTCCTCCTCCGATCACAGTTCCTGCCACCCACGCCTCAAGGAAAAAAAAAAAAAAAAAAAAACCCGCGCCAGCCCCGCTGATCCTTAGGCATCTTCCATAAAGCAATATGGCAACTCCATCCTCTCTTATACGGCCCCTCCCAGCCGCCCCGGCCCACACCTGAGCCCCTTGCCGTCGCTGAGGTCACCTCAATGTCATTTCCTCGTAAAACCTGTGGGGCCTCCACGTCTCCCGCAGAGGTCGCTGTGAGGCTCTGGACCGAGTAGCGAGTGCAGGGAAACCGCACGCGCAGGTTCTGGGTCACAGCTGAACCCCTGGGGGACGGCAGCGAGGGACCGGGTTGACCGACAGCCTTGGGGGCTGCTGGGCTGCTGAGCTGCAGGCGTGCGGTGAGAGCAAGACGCAACAGAGCCCACAGGTGGACGCAGGCGCAGGGTGTGGGGGCTCACACGGTCCCCGAGGCACGTCAGGGCTCCACGAGGATGCTCCCTGGTGGAAGCGGCAGCGGGGCCACCGCCCCGGCCCGTCAGCGGCTGTTAGCGGGGGACGCCCAGCGGGCTGCTCAACCCACCGCCGGGCTGGTTCTCCCTTCGGCCGCTAGAGGGGCCTCGTCCAGGTGAGCGCCAGGTCGCGCCCCTACGCTTCAAGCGAGCTTGGCCGCGCAGCCAACGCTTTCAGGATGTCCCGCCCATTCCCCTCCCGACAGCCACTCGCCTGCGTTGAGGCTCCGCCAGCTTGGGACTGGCAGGCAGGGGAGCAAATCAAGTCGCGACCTTTGAAAGCAAAACACTGCAGCCTCCCCCCCCCTCCCCCCCACCTTGGCAACTCGGAGCTGGGAAGACGTCCAAGAGGCTGTGCCTGGGGATGGCACGAGTGTCCCGGACGCGTCTCCGGAACCTGGGATAGGTGGATGTAGAAGGAGCGCGGGTGAGTCATGGTCAAGACCGAGGCAAGGGGGACTTGAGTTCAGGCTTGCTCGTTTAGGAAAAGCATTTTTAGCGCTCTGGCTGCCCCCTAGGATAAATGCGGGCTCCCTTGCTGTTGCCAGTCTTGTCAGTTTGGGTGCTGTTGCCTCCGATTTCTTTTCTCTTCTGTATTTTCAAGGAGGGTGGGCACCGGTTTGCCTTAATGAAGGTGATGCTGGGCGTTACCAGATGAGGAAGTGGAAGGCGCTGCCGGCTTCCAGCATGCTGGAAACAGCCGGTGCAGCTCGCAGGTGGATGGGGGTGCCAGTGTGCTCGGTACTGGAACCGAGGTGTGTCTCCCCGGGCGATCGAACGTCCAGCTCAGTGGGAAAGGACCCGAGAACGTCACCATTCCGCGCTCGGAAGCCCCGGGAAGGGAAAGCTTAGCATGAAACCGACGTTCTCTTGTCAAACTGAATCGTCAGGTGGTGAGAAGACCTCCATGCACGCGCGCGCGCGCGCACACACACACACACACACACACACACACACACACCCTTGTTTTCAGTTACAGCCAATTTCATGGCCGCGAGGCTCGGTTACTCTCTCTGGAAAACTTGCTCGGTGGGATTAATGTGAGTAATTCACTTAGATGAGGCAAGGGGATTGGAGTGGAAGCAGGCACTTTGTGAATCCTCCTCTTTCCTTTCTTGGGTCAGTGACCATGAGCTGTGACGACTGTCAACACCGAGTTGGCTGTGTGCCTCTTGGACATAACAATAAGCCATCACCAGGCCAAAGTGTGAGCTTTACAAGGGAGTGCAACTTGCACGGTCCAGTGCGCCAGCCCAGGGAGACCTTATTCTCTATGTCTCTGTGCATTCAGAGTTCTGGCGGTTGCCCAGGTAGACAGGGAAGCTCAAGCTGCTGTTTAAATAGCCAATGAACTACATACACACACACACACACACACACACACACAGAGAGAGAGAGAGAGAGAGAAAGAGAGAGAGAGAGAGAGAGAGAGAGAGAGAGAGAGAGAGAGAAGGAGAGAGCACCAGCTAGCTTGGAGAAGGTTACCCAGCCTAAATTCCTGCTGTCCTCCCCAGCTGGTTCCCAAGGCCTGTTTGCTTTCTCTGACATCCTGTGGGTGGGGCTGGGTCTATCTGTTTGTGGCCGTGAGTCTTGAGTAAGGCTTTTTTTTTTCCTCTTAATTTTAACCACAGTGTACCAGGGGCTTTACATTCCGTCAGCAGTGGGTATATATGCAAGTCACCTTACCAGCCTCAGATCTCGGTTGCCTGCCAAAGCAGGGGACCTGGCAGGTGCCTTCAATCCAGGGCCCCTTCAACTCCAGGCTGGAAGCAGCCCTGGGTCCCTCCCAAGTTAGAAGGCCCCCTAGCCTGCCCTCGTCTTAACGAAGTCAAGACAGAGCTGCAGATGTTTGAGGCAGCGTTGCTTTCACACACATGCAATCTGAAGAGTAATTATGCCCTCCCAGTCTTCCCAGAAAATTACCATTCCCAGTCAATCCTATATTCGTCACGCCTTACGGGTAAGAAGCATGAGGAGAGCAGGAATACCGTCTCAAATAAAAGCAGCAGCATCAATGATTTAAAGGCCCTTCAATGAGGCGCAGCCTGGGCAGAGAGGTTTTCATGGCTGCCCTGGACTAAGCCTGCATTTGGCATCTCCTAAGTGCTGGGCATGAGGTCTGTCCTGTGACATCAGTGCATGCTAGTGGCATTCCTAGGTGTGGAAACACAGGGCAGAAGGAACTAGAAACTATGGGCTGTGAAGCTTTTGAAACTTGGGCCACCTACTCTCTTGGGTGGGTCCTTGGGAGATAAGAACACATATGCACAATAAACTACAGGGTTAATTTGGAGAGTGGGCCTGCAAGATGGCTTAGTGGTGTCAGGGTGCTTGCTGCTAAGCTTTGATGAGTTGTGTTTGATCCCAGGGACCAATGTGTAGGATGGAAAGAACTGTCTCCACAAAGCCCCTGACTTCTGCACAGGCGCCATGTCATACCCCACAGACACAGAATTTTTAAAAAATACATATTTTTAGAAATTAAAAACGAAATAAAGTTATACTGGGTATATTCCACCAGATTTCTACTGCAGCTCATGGAATCCATACTTTATGGCTAAGGAAACTGGCTCAAAAGCTGAATAACCTGGCTGAAGTACCCAAGGTAGAACACAGCAGATCGAAAGCAATCCAAAACGTGTTAAGGGGCCAGTGAGATGGCTCAGCAGATGAAAACACTTGTCAAGCTCAACCTGACATCCTGAGTTCGATCCCTGAAACCTGCTGTGGGAGGAGAGAACAGACTCTTACAACCTCTATAAACACTCACATGTCCATAACAATCATACATTGATGATTATAATGTATAATATGTATTAAATATAGCATAATGATTATAACACAATAAACAGGTTGATTTTGTTTGGTGCCTTGGGAGGTGTTATTTTGTATGTTTGATTCTTTTTTTTTTTTTTTAAGACAGGGTTTCTCTGTGTAACCTTGGCTGTCCTAGACTCAGTTTGTAGACCGGGTAGCCTCTGCTTCCCTGAGTCCTGGGATTACAGGTGTGTGCCACCTCTCCCTGCTGTTTGTTTGTTGTTGTTGTTTTGCATAAGAAGACTTCACAGAGCCTTTTAGTGTGGTGGTAAGGTTCCAACCGCGAGCCCTAAGTACAGACATTCTCTTCTCTGTTTGGGAGAAAAGCTTGAGAAACGCTGAAAACAGTAATCCAACGAAGCTAACCGACAATTGTCATCCCCGTTTCTGCTCAAAGCCACATCACTGTCCACACTTCACACATGAGACGCTGAGTCACCCAGAGCCAACCTGACCAGGGTAGCAGGTCTCACCTCCCAGGACAGTGTTCTTCCCTCCCCCCTGCCGGGATTTTCTCCTCGTTCTTTTCTAAGTTGACAACCCCGTGATTTGGTGGTTGCTTTGAGTTTTTATTGTTGTTTATTGGGTTGGTTTGCTCTAAGACAAGGTCTCATAGACAGATAGATAGATAGATAGATAGATAGATAGATAGATAGATAGATAGCTCAGGCCATCCTGTGGTCCAGCCTCAGCCCTCAGCCTCCCGAGTGCTGGGATTTCAAGCATGTGCTGCCAACCTGATGATGATTCCTATTTGATGCCCATGGCATCTGTTTGTTGACTGATTTTGGAGACCTGGAGAAGTGGTATCCTTTCTTGTCCTCTATCTTCTAGGGGGAAAGAAGTTTAACTTAGGGTGTAGTTGGAGGAAGGAAGAGGAGGAGGAGAGGAAATGGGAGGTCTAAGGCCCAGGAATAAAGCTCTTTAGGGAGCCCTCCCTATTAAGGAGGTCAAAAGCCTGATAATCACGCCTGCCTGATCTCCTTTTGCATGGCCAGTCATACTTTGTGGGAGGAGCCTTCTCCGGCAATGAAGGTGGGTGCTGTGTCTCACGCACATGCATTTTTTATGTCCTTCTCCAGCACCCAGAGCTTGGCCAGAGTCAGGAGACACGCCCCCACCCATCTGCTTGGGAGAGACACACAAGCCGCCTCTTTCTCAGGGATGCTGAGGAGAAGGCTGTAAATCAACCAAAAGAAGCCAGAGAACTCATCCGACTGAGGAAGGGAGAGAGCGAGGTGGGGCTCTGGAATGAGGTGAACGCTGGGAGAGATGGCTTCCCGTTCACGCCCTGCCTAGCAGCAGCTCGTGTTCCCAGCCAGGCCAGGCACGATGTCCCACTAGACAGCCATGGAGGACGGAGCCCACAGCGCAGGCCTGCAGCTGCAGCCACTCCCGCCCACCAGCAGCGCCACCTCCACCAGCCTGAGCAGCGGCAGTGAGGCCTCCTTCTCCTACAAGGCAAGTGCTTCAGTTTCCTTCGGGAATGTTGTGGGTTTTCTAACAAGAGGGGCACAGGAGCCCAATGGCCTCACCAGTGTGCCCAGGGTCCGTATGCCCATCACTCTCAGAGACAGGCCCTCCACATACCCAGAACGACACGGAATCAAGAGAAAAGATACACTCTCTCAGATAGAAATAGGGCTGGGGGATGGCTCAGCCAGTGAAGTGCTCCACGGGACATGAGAGGACCAGAGTTTGCGTCCACAGCACCAACATAGGTGCCAAGCAGTTCTGGCAGGCTCTCTATAACCCTAGCACAGAAGAGGCAGAGATGGGGGAATCCCTTTAACAAGCTGGCTAGCTAGACTGGCCAGATCTGCCAGCTGTGAATTCAAGCAAAAAAACCCTTTCAATAAATAAGATGGAGAGCAATGGAAACTCTGGAGGTTGACCTCTGACACACACACACACACACACACACACACACACACACACACAGAAATGACATTAATTAAATAAATATAAATGTTTAAAAATACAGAGGTAGAGATGTATCTTAAATGAGTTAAAAAGTGGGTACACTTAGCCAGGCACAGTGGTCCACACCTGTAATCCCAGCACTCCGGGAGGCAGAGGAAGGCGGATCACTGTGAGTTCAAGGGCAGCCTGGTTGGTCTACAAAGTGAGTCCAGGACAGCCAAGGCTACACAGGGAAACTCTCTCAAAAAAACAAACAAACAAAAAAGGGGGTTGGTACACTTCCAGTTAGGAGACATGGGGTTTGTTTGGTTTTTTAAGATTTGTTTTATATATATGTCTATGCACTATGCTCAGGGAGATGAGAAGGTGTTTCCT